TAGACCGCCACAATCACCACTAAGACCACCGAGACACCAAGACCGGACCACCAAGGCCACCGGGACCACCAAGAGCACCACCAACACCGCCTAGGCCGCCACAATCACCACCAAGACCACCGGGACTACCAAGACTAAAGTAGTCTGAGCGAGATACTCTAACATTACATGACCTTCTACTTAAGTAGTCGAAACGAGATAGGGCCTCCACATAATAGATTGCGCGTTTGAGCTCAGTACCAAATAAATGCCGCCGCACATATGTAAGCTGACCGTATATTTAAATCGTACCGTATATTCATTCCGTATGTTTAAAGGGTCGGGCCGGGCTGGCAAAAACCTTGCCGGAGGTAGTCTAAAATACCTGTTTACCTGTTTTAAAAATCGTATATTTAAAAAGCGATACCGTAAGATTTTTGTTTGACTTTGCTTGGGTTGCTTGGTTGTTTGTAGAGTTGTTCTTTTTTCTTTCGGGTGTTGATTGGAAACGCCTCCAGCAACATCGCTGGGTCGGGTCGTTTGGTCACCTGAACCGGAAATGCCAACGGCTGGTTGGTCGTTCTCCCATCCAACGGGTGGCCGATCAACATCCGATCTGTGGCATGCCTGCCTGAGCCCACCAGAGTGGTTGGGAGGACAGTGACGATGTGGGGGGTTTTGAAGATGCAAAGTCAGAACAGCTTTCTTTGCCCAAGCTGGCTGATGTGCCCATCCCTTCCCCGCCGTGGTATCTCTGCGGTACTTGGCCGAAAGCCGTGGTACAGCTGATCCACCTCGTTGTCTTTGTTTGGAAGGACAATGTCGTTGCCGGGACAGGCCAAGGGTGAATTCTCCAAGTTCAAACAAAAGACCACTGACCATGAAGTGCTCAGCTGTGCAACGAAGCAAGTCACTGGCTGTTCCGGCCCTCACCGGACCGGGACGTGACAATTTCCGGTCGCTTGGCCCTCCTTTTTCGGTCGCATGCAGCGTCAAGGGCCCGGTTTTGGTCAAGTGAGCAACACGTTTGGGGCTTCTCAAGAGGTTTCCGAACTCATGGCCTCATCTCGCATGAGCTGTTTTGCGTCAGTGATACGAAACACATATGTTATATATAATATACGTTATTCGGGTCGCTCGACGACAACCGCCCGCACCAGTGGCTCTCAGACAGAGGGTAAAAGAAGCCGCTATAACCACTCTTGGTTTTTGGACCCTCTGACAACTTATATGTTGGATCTATTTTTCGACCCCCTTGAAGGATGTACATGTTCAAGGGGCCGAAACATAGAGTGACTATGCTATACAATGTGCATGATTGAGACAAGACTCAGAGATGAACGCAGCACGAAGTCGATGAATTCTATAGAAGAAATATCTATTATAATCACGCTATGTGTACAATTGTTTAGTTATGTCTTACTTGCATTGCAACTTGCAAGCATCGTTGGACAAAAAACACTTTTGGACGCCCTTGAGATTGTACAGTTGCCAGGGTGTCAAAATTATATCCAACAGTGCCTGCAAATGAATATATTTTGGACCCCCTGAAAAATGTACAGTTTCACGGCGGTAGAAGAATAGATACATTTTCAGGGTGTCCAAATCAAAATCGTGGGCAGGCATTTTGTACACTAAACTATACAAGTGCCACCAGCTGATGGATATGATACGATTATGAACTGTACAATTGCGACCAGCTGATGCATATGATGCAACTATGAAAGGTATATTAGGACACAGACTGTTGAGAGGAGTCGTTTGTTTGCCTTTCATGGGCCTGCTGATGCAAAGGATACGATGATGAGAAATATAGTCAGACATACATGATATGTGAAAACCATGTGTTGTCAATGTTTCTCCCTCTCCCACTTCCATGATGCAGACACACCTCATGATGCAGGATGCACAATTTTCGTTCCCAAACGAAACTTCAGACCCCTAGCTAAAGCTATATAGCGGCGAATGCGCTACTGACGGTGTAACGCCCCTCAGCACCTGTGGTGCGGGCGGATTTTTTTGCACCGCTCAAGTTGGTCACCCGCAGTTCTCGACTCCTGAAAACTCTTCATTTGGCACGCGAAGCAAGAACTAAAAAGGCGGTTTCCAACACAATTCCAAGCAATGGCGAAGGCCGATCACTTTTCCAATCCACTTGAACCACTTGTCCCCACCAACTCGCTTTTCCAAACAATCAATGGCTTCCCCTGAGATCCCAAAGCAACCTACCCAACGGTCCCACGCCGTGTCGGGCACGTGGCGTGCGGGTGTCGTCCGGCAGGATGCGACCTGAAAGGCCCCTTAGCAGCGTGTTTGCTGGAGGACACTTGTCAACAGTCCTGGTTGGACAAGGCGCGGAAGTGGTCAGAACGGCGCCGTTTTTTTTGCTTTCGTGGAAGTTAAGAAGAATTGGTTCACTGCATGGGGATTTCTCTCTTTGGTGGGGGAGGGAGGGGCGTCCTTTTCTGTTTCCAGCGGATTCGGGAACGTGCTTTTTTGGGGGGGGGGCGGTTGGAGCGCTTTTTGGACGGAGAAAGGGTGGTGGGCGTTCTGAACGGAGTGACTCATTACCTGTGAGAGTTGGTAAACAATTTGACGATATTTTGCACAAGGTTATTACTCAGAACATCATCATCCACAAGGATACCCTGGATGACATGGATAGACCTCAATGTATCAGTGGCTTCTCCAGCCTTTTGCACCAGACTTTGCATCCTCCCCCGCGCGTTTTCGAGGCCTCGGTGCTGACCGGACGAGTGGGCGACTGACCCCGGGTCGCGACTTATTCGGGTGACGTGTCCAAGGAACAAAAAGAGTCATGATAGAAAACCGTATAGCATAGGTCAGGTCGTTCAGCTTTTGGTGTTCTTCCTTTGGCCCAAATAAGCCAAGAGACTTCAGCTTTGTGGATTATATCTGGGTGTGTTTTTGGTCTTAGGGAGACCCCCCAGTTCGACCCCGGGAAGAAGGATAACAGACAAAAATAACCATTTCAATACACACCCAAGCGTCCTTGCTCTTAGTAGTATGGCCAGGAGCCCCTAGTAGCGTCCTTGCTCCTATGGAAAATCGACAAAACCATTTCACACCCATATGGCAAAATTTGTTTTTCCTCCATTCTGCGGCGGCCTCAGTCTAGAAGCTACTAGTAGCAAAGGGCCTTACTACTAGGAGCAAGGCCGCTACTAGGGGCTCCTGGCCATACTACCAGGAGCAAGAAGCTACTAGTAGCAAAGGGCCCAGGTTGTGCAAAAAGTAGCGGGAGGCACCTTGAGGTGATCGAGATCGATTCAAAAGCTTCACTCAAAGCACGACCGGACACCTCTTGGCCAGTCCTCCTGCGAAGCTCCGGGCGCTGATACCTGCGCATCCCTCAAGCGCTCTTTTCCAGAGTCTCTCGATGGCGTGGGGTGTGTGTGGTGCTTCGGGTGCTGGGAAACGAGTTTTCATTTTCTACTAGAAATAAGTAGGGTTGCAACATGTTGCGTAGATACTGTGGTTTTAACTGACTTTTACTGCCCAGTCGAGCTCGCAGCTCGCTTCATCGTCGGTGGGAGGGTGACTTTCGTTGCCCAAGGAGGCGGAGAGAGCTGTAGGCGTCCGGACGTGACTAGTAATGCCCTTGTTACTGCTATAGCTTCTAGCTACTAGTAGTTGGGCTTAAGTTGGGTAACGGTTGGAACCGATGCTTTGGAAAAGAGATCTCTCTTTTTCCAGTAGCCGTGAAAAAGAAGGCCTCTGACTCCTTGGAAACCGCTTCCATTCTTCTCCATTTCCATCATTCTGCTTTGAGCCATTTCCATCATCTCGACTCCATGTGTTCCGGCTGAAGTCGGTGGCCTCGTCGGTGGCTTCCGAGGACGGGCGAGGGTGTCCGCACCTTCATCCACGCGGCTTGGTGCGGTTGGGATGGCGAGAGTTGGGACAAGGCCAGTCCTCGGAAAGGGCCGGAGCATTCGTAAGACCTCCTGGGAGTTCCTTCTCCCGATCTGAAGATGTTCTGTTTGGTGGCTGCCTATCTCCAATCAAAGTGCTGATCAACATTGATCAACCATCCTCCTCAACTGCAGACTCAGTCCACTGCAGACCCTGCAAGGGTATCCTTCCCAAGCCCTAGGGCCCTAGGGGTGCAACAAACAAGTAGTTAGACTCAAGGCAATTCAGTGAGTTGTGGTGGAGCACCTACCTGCTTTTGGATCTCCCATGGTCAGTCAGTGTCCTTCTTCTTCTTCTTCTTCCTCTTCTTCTTCTCCTTGGAGGGCATTCATGAACACCTGAAACGTGTTCCGATGTGCAAACAAATCGAGGAAATCTTTTCCTCGCTCAGGATACCATGGACATCCTCCTTTTCCTCTTCGGTATCGTGTCCCATCCTCAGTGACTCAGCACCATCCTCGGCATCTCGTGGACGAGAAGAACAACTAATATCTAACAACCCAGTTCCGTAGCCGAGGCCGATGCAGAACGATTAGGATAGCTTCTTGTGTGAAACAGTGTGAAACTTGCGAAGCAGATCCAACAAAGGAAGTAGAGTTTGGTTCTTCCTGTATGCTGAAACTGCCACACGTGATTTCCATCTCCTGCGCACTGTCCATCAAAAATACATGGACAACAAATTGAAGGTTGAACCCAAGGATAGACCTATATACAGACGTTTTGAAGGCTTGAGTTTATACACGTTCAATGGATTGACATGGTTTCTCGTGAATCCTTCAGTTGGGACAAGCCCCGACTAGATGATGGAAGACCCTGCCAAGAAGTTGCCGATCTTCTAGAACAGACCGAACTCATGGCTGTTGGATGCTGTTGGAATGGTTATCATCCAAAGTTTCTCCTTGGACATCATCAACCCTGGACAGCATGATTCCTGTTGCGGTGGAACCGAGCTTGACCAGCCAGGCCCATTTTCATGGCTGCTTTGGCGAAAGAGAGCCGCGGCTATGGCAAGGCGGAGCAGTGTCTTCCCTTCCGAACTTCTGGTTGCTTCAGGGTGCAGTGCTCCAGAAGGCAGAGATCCCTATGGTGGCAGTATCGTGTTCCTCGAGTGGTGAGACTCGAGCCGCCCCCGTCACCTAAAGTGTGAGACAAACCTGTATTGTTCCCGGTGCGAGACAGTCGGCTGCAAGCCAAGGTACCAAGAAGTCATAATCGACATGTTTTTCATTTTTGTTGATTACGAACATACAGCACACAACTTTATCCCAGAAATCCTAATTGTAAATTTTGGCTTCAGATTGTTAATGTTGATTCTGTACTTCGTGATTTCTGTTGTCTCCCATTCCATGCTTCTTTTGTGGTTACGGTTTCTCATTGAACTTGTGTCTTTTTCGCAATGCATTTCTTTCCGGTATTCCATTGGATACAGATTGTGTTTTTATGGTGTTTTTGCTGACTCTCAAGCTGAATTGCTGTTGTGGACACAAATGCTGCGCTGCTTGGTTCAAAAGTGGCTTTCCCACGGTTTTTTTGGTGATTGGCCTGCCGTGGTTTGGTTGGACAGGTTCCGACCGGACTTGGAGACAGAGGGACTTGGTTCAGATGCGACCCTGGACCCGCATTCTGAGGGGTCGGACCCGCATCCTTTGGCATCTAGAGGAGTTTGGGGTTTCTCACCAATCCCCAGGTTTTGAGGGACCAGTTGGGCTGTTTTCACGGAGCGTTTGGGCATGATGAGTGCGTTCAGTGAACCAACCGTATGGAGGTTTTGTAAGACAACCTGGAGATGGTTTGAGTGGAACTCAGGGTGAGTCGACAGACACCAACCAGTTTTGTACTCTCCCTGGAACCATCATGGTTTTGATGAACGGCATGACCCCCGAGTTCGGGTGACCAAGTTCATCCTCTGATATTTTCTGCCTGCGTCGGTGATGCCATCCACTTCGATGATTCCATTTCGTACATGTTAGTTCTTGTTTTGGTTTCGCCTCCGGCTTCACCACCGGTTGAAACCGGGTTCACCGCCTCACGGCTGCCCTCACAGGCCTCACCGGAAGATGCCAAGCCGGAGGCACGACGGGCCTGGCCGTTCCCTGGACAGTCGGAACTGGGAACGGACCGTAGACAAGAAGTTCAACATAGTTGTCAACATGGTTGTCAACATAGTTTGAATCATGTTCTGAAAGCTTTTTGTTTGGAATTTGGAACCCTACAGGTTTGGTGGATCCGAAGACTTTTTTTTGGAGGTTTTGTGGTGCTTCACCGAATTCTGCAAAGGGCCTTGTGATATTAAATCCAACGCAGATTGGGATGAGGCCCGATGCCCTTTCGCCGCTTTGACCCCTTTTGGCCGCTTGAGCAACCAGCGAACCTTCCGCATACTACTACTAGCGTCCTTGCTCCTAGTAGTATGGCCAGGAGCCCCTAGCGTCCTTGCTCCTGGGTCCAGTCGGAGTTCGCACCGGACTGAAATTGACGGTCTCATCCGTGCGCAAACGCGCGATGCCTGACAGGCTCCTGAGCTGCCTGAGAGTGGTGCTTGGCGCAACAACGCAGGTTAGAGCAAGAGGTGTTTCAGACCAGGAGGCTCAAAGAGCCTCCGTAGGTTTCTGCGGGAGAGGAACAGTTGCTGCCGGCATCCAGAAACCCAGCCATGCTTTGGTGAAGACTTGAAGTTTGGAATCCCTCGATGTTGCACCTACGAACCCCCCTGAGGGAGGCTTCCCAAGAAATGCATATTTGATGTAGAGTGAAGCTCTTGTGTGGATTCTGCGTTACGAACGAGAGAGAGGGAAACATCACTTGAACTTGACAGTGTTTCAGTAGCACCTGCTAGGAGTCTATGCTCCATATCCAACATCCTTCGAGGCAGCCAAGACGGACCCGTCTGACGAACACAGTCACAAAGTACAGCTGCCGCCTTCTTCCGAATGGACGGCCGTGTGGCCGCTTGTCTTCTTCGGCCGTTTTTGGAGTAGGGCTGGCCTCTGTTTTGGGCCCTCGAATTGTTAGGTGCTAATTCTGAGTATATATTTGGTTTACAATGGTTTAAAGACACGCCCAACGCGCTGCTTTTGGTGCCCAAACTTCATGTGGGCTTGGGTTTGGCGCAAAACACACTCTCCGGACATCCTTTCGGCTCTGCCATCACAGCTGTTCATCCAGCACCATGGCGCTCGGGTTTGCCCGGAGGCCCAGAGGATTCCCCCGCACGTCTTCGGCCTCAGTCAGCGGCGGTTCATCGGGTTCATGGGAAACCTCTCAAAGATCCGGTTCGACGGCGGGGCTCGGATGGGTTTTGAAGAGAAAAGACCAAAAGACCTTCTTTGTTTCGCTTAGAGTTTTCAAAACTCTAGCCACTTGGCCATTTTCAATCGGCCAGCTCTAATACCCTTAACCCTGAAACCCTAACCGAGCAAATTCAAATTGGTTGAGAATCGGTGGGCCTTTCTTCAGTTGATCAGTAGAGGTCGGACATCATTGGAGCGACCCCCTGCGGATTGTGGATAAACTGGATAAACCCTTTGGCCCCCCTTTTGGCGGTCTGGATCAATTTTATGTCAACTGCTGTAATGATCGTCGTCGTCATCATCATCATCATAATCAACAAATCAACATGGACATTCATTTTTATATTCTTGCGACTTCTTTCAGTAAAGACAGGAAGCCTCGCTTCTCTGGGTATGTCGCTTGGGTGGTTACACTCATCTACACTCACTTCCTTTTAATTCCATCCTGCATAGTACTGCAAGTCGTACTGCAATGGATCTAGTACGTACTTTCTTGATGTCTATGGGGGTCAACCCCTCATTACATCCCGAGTGCCAACTGAAGTTCGACCATTCCTTTTTCACCTTTGGGCCCCAATTTCCCACTATCCTAGAAATCCCGTCGTGCTGAACCTCAGGTACCCGACTGGCACCGTCTCATCACAGTGTCGAACACATCACTGTACCTGAGAAGGTACGACTGGTACTTGGATCTCTAGGGTATCATCTTGGTGAGCTTCTCACCCTCAAAGTATGTCGTGTCTTATTTTTCATCAAGGTTCAGCCTGAAAATACATATGACGAGGATGGGCCCCCGTGAGGACGAGACATCCGACCAACATAGCCTTAGAGGGCAGGCGAGCTTGATTCATAAGACTTCCCATGCGGGTGTTCAATCCAAATTGGGTTTATGAATCAGTCTACATGAGGTTCTACATCGCTTCAACTGCAAGGCAGGGCGCTTGTTTGGAACTCGTGGCCCACGTGCTTCGTACGTTGGTTCGTAAGGGTTGCTTTGCCGTACGGTCGCGCGCCGCTTTGAGACCCATGCAGCGGTCGAGGTCCAAGTACATCCATACCTTCATCGTGGTCGTCACTTGGAGAGTCTTCGGGACCAGCGTCCGAACGTCCTGTTCGGACGCTCTTAATTAGGTGGAGGCGCCATTGCGTCCCTAAGGTGGAGGCCATCGCTACGAACGTAAGAAGCTACGAACGTAGCAAGGAGGGACCGTTGGGGGACCTATGTTCCACACGACGAGCGCAGCGGCGACGGTGCTTTCACGGTTAACACCGAGCTCCGACTCGGTGAAGAGGAGCTCCGGAAAAGGGTAAGAGTTGAAAACACACACTCACAGGATGGTCATGGTCAGGTGAAAGAGCGCCTCATGTTTTTTTCTTCAAATTTATCACTTCTTTCCCTCTGGTCTGGTTGGCCCAGTACCAAAAAAAGTATGAGATGCAGAATGCCCAAAAGGTGCCCCCTGGGCAAGGTCTCCCATGCTCCATGGCTCACTTGGAAGAAGAATCTCACAAAATCTGATTTTCCAGGAGTTTCAAAGGGTGCGATCCATGGAGGTTAGGGGTGCCCATTGTCCACTCACGTAGGGACAAAAAGGGAATCCCTTTGTGGCTCGTGTTTTGTATTTTTTTCGTTTTCGGAAGACAGAAGCGCTGCCTGGTATATACCGGGAACCTGTTTGACCTGTGTTTCGATAGGAAACAACCACATTTTGGGTGGTTTGTGGTCGAAAACAGAGGTCAGACTCAGGTTCCAGGTAGGTTCGTACCAGTCCCACGGAGTGGAAATTGTCCGCTTCGCAGCGCTCGTGTTTTTCAGGGTCTCTAGTCAGGACGGAAGGGGCCAAGATCGGAAGGGGCGACCAGAGTTTTTCATGCCAAATTCATGGGTCCGCAGTGATTCGGGCGATAATTCAAGGGTGAATTTCCCGGGCAGCCCAGGAATTCTGGAATTGATGCCTGCTCAGGCCTGCTCTTAGGTGATGTTCTGGTCAAACTCTCTTTTGCAAGTGGTGCTGGTCAGCTGGTCCGACCGAGCACGGAAGCGCTGCGGAAGCGCTGAGGACGATGAGACCTTGCAGCCTTGACGCCCATGCCACTCGGAATCGACATGTGTCCCAGCTGCCGCACGTGTGCTGCAGCAAGAGTCACGCATGGCATCGCAGGTGTGCTGCACCTGCAGCTGCCTTAGGGTCGCAATAAGAAAAAACAGAGCAAGAGGTGTAGGCAGGTGTGAACGACCCTCGTAGCAACGATGTGAAGTTCATGTCTTCAGATCGCTTTCATCACAAACAGGGTGATGGAGAAGATTCGATATCACCTCGTGTCACCAGTTTGTCATGGCCCGTGCGAGAGTCACCATGTTGATATTCCAAGGTCAGAACTTCCCTTTTTGAGGATGATTTGACCCTATCGGCCGGTATAGGAAAACCAAGGAACATGCACACGTTCAGGACTTCCTGAGGATGTGTACAGACTCAGTTCACTTGACGTGAGTGACTTGCTTTGTGTCTCACAGAACCAGGGGACCTAAACAGAACATCTGGTCTGCTTCATGGAGCCACAGGGAGTGAACTCGCGGACCACCAGCACATGGGTTCTTGTCCACGGCTGACGCCAAGAACACCGACCTCATTCGACGAAGGTTTTTCGTGTCATCTGAGATCGGCGACATTTTCGGCAGCCGTTTCTTCTTTTTCCTTCTGGGGCCACAAGGCACCCAAACCTTGTTAAGGTAGCTATGCCTAAAGCTGTTCGATCTGACATAGAAAAGCAGACTTTCTGAGCAGAAGTTCATCTGCTCATGCTCATCTATCAAAAACACCAAACCTTCAGCATCAGATCATGCAAAGAGGCTGCGACAACCACTCTCTTTGGACACACGTTCCGAAATCCCCTATCAAGAACAAGATGCATTGGATTGTATGTATGTGACTCTCTATGGTCTTCCCTGCATCGTACATGGTAGAGAACCAGTCCGACACGGTTCTGTATACTTGCCAGGCAATTCCGGCTTCCCGAGCCCCCCTTATAGGCTTCCCCGCGAAAAGCGGGGTGCCGCGGCTCGGAGAATTCCGGAAGACCTTCGGGGAATGGTGGGGCCTCAGGATCTTCCTTTTGGAGTCATTGAGTAGCTCCTGTCCAGACAGATGAGGTTCCAAAGCAGAGGACTTTGATTGGATGCCATCGAACCTCCGTTCTACCACTGTAACATGTTGACCTCTTACTTTGGCCATCTTGGCATTTGGCCGAATGGAAGACATGCAACGAAGACCCTTTCCTTCCTTTTCCTGCTTCTCGCGAGAAGCTGCAAGGTACTATTTTCATTGGTGTTCTTTGTCCTCAGCATCCATCTTGGGGAGGCCGCGTGAAAACAGCGTGACCTACTGCAGCTCCTTAGTACAAGACTTGTTCTTCCAAAGGGCTCGGTTCACCGTGGGTTCTTCGTGGGTTCTTTGTGGCTTTCATCAACTGCATCAAAACTCTGCCACTACCCTGTAGGCAGTCAATCCATCGTGGAGAAAAAGGCCAACATAGTTCCCAAGATGTTCTAACATACACAACTGTTCAGCGGGATAATTCGCTTTCCTCAGTCAAGTCAACGATCAAAGAAGGCCCACAAAGTGCAAGATATGGGATCTAGTTGGGGTGTGTCCCATTACCAATAATAACAGTCGGCAATAGATGGTCACTATTTTTGAAAAGGGCCTGCAACTTAAGAAAATGATCAATCATCCACCGCTATGAGT